CATCGGCAAAGTCAAGAATCTCGAAAGGCTTTTAACAAAATGTGTGCTAATGTTAAAAAGCAAGTCAAAAGATTAACTCGAGAATACGCAACGGATTTAGTAAAGAGAGCAAAGCTTGCATCAAAACTTTTATTCTCATACGTAAATAGAAAACAAAACATTAAAATGCAAATTAGAGCAATCAAGAACAAAAAAGATCAAGTTATAACTGAGATATCAGACATTTCAGATATATTAAATAAGCAATTTCAGTCAGTCTTTGTTAATAATAATGATCAACCAATACCCGAATTCTTGCAAAGATGCGAAAACCAGTGCGATTCCAGTAAGTTATCTAATATGATTACCTATGAAAAAATTCTCAAAATGTTAGAAGGTATGGATGAGGCAAAAGCGATGGGTTTTGATGGAATTTTTTTTTTATTTTTTTTATTTGCATTCACTCCCAACAAGGCTGCAAGCAAACACTATTAAGTTGGGAGTTATTAGGAAAAAAAAGAACAGAGTTGTAGAGCAAGGAAACGGTTGACAGAAGACTTGAAAAGTTGAAGGTTGTATGAGTCAGGAAAACATGAAGATGGCAGAGAGTTCCAAAGAATTGAAGTGCGGGGTAAAAAACTAGATGAATAAAAGTTTTTAGAGCATGCAGGGACAGATACAGTAAACAAATGAGACTTAGCTGAATGACGAGTAAAATGAGAATGAATTTTAGTTGATGGAACTAGAGATGATAACTCCTTTGAGCAGTGACCATGATAGTATCTGTAGAAAAGAGAAAGAGATGCAACTTTACGATGATGGGAAAGAGGTTCAAGCTTAGCAGATAGTCCAGGTCCAACAACATTTACAATGCGTTTTTGGACCTTGTCAAGAAGAGAAAGTGAATCGTTAGAAGAACCAGCCCAAATATGACAACAGTATTCCATACAGGGACGAATAAGAGGTTTGTAGAGGTAGAGAATGGAATCAGAAGTAAGGAAATGGCGAGCACGATAAAGAGAAGCAACCTTAGCAGAAGCTAATTTAGCAATCGATTATATATATGGTTTCCATGAAAGGTCAGTAGTAAGCGATAATCCAAGAAGACGTAAAAAGGAGGACTCAGTAAGAGGATTGCCATTCATTAATATAGGAATGTTGACCATATTACGGTAGTTGTTTGCAGTAAGCAATTGGGTTTTTTTAGAGTTGAAATTCACAAGCCACTGTGAACCCCAATCTATTACTGAAGTGAAATCAGATTCAAGATCAGCTGCTTGTTCTAGGCGATCGAAAAGAGAAGACTTTTTGTCAAGACAGGAGTATAAAGTTGAGTCATCAGCAAAAAGAGCTACTTTAGATGAAAGGTTGTCAGGAAGATCGTTTATGTAGATAAGAAACAAAACAGGGCCCAGGATGGAACCTTGGGGAACCCCAGAAGTTACTGGAAATAAAGAAGAGTGTTGGCCTTCAAAGATGACTTTAATAAACCGGTCAGAAAGAAATGATTTGATAATCTCAAAAACTTTCCCAGAAACACCATATGAAGCAAGCTTATGGAGAAGACCAGCATGCCAAACTTTGTCAAAAGCTTTAGATATGTCGAGAGCAATAGCCCTAGCCTCACCGCCTCCATCTAATGCACGATAAAATCTTTCAGTTACAGCAGTTAGCAAGTCGGCTGTAGAGCGAGAGGATCGAAAACCGTATTGATTGTCTGACAGCAGTTTATTTGACTCAAGATGAGATGTGAGGAATTTGTTGATCAAAGACTCAAAGACCTTGCTAATAACAGAAAGAAGATTGATCAGACGATAATTGGAGGGGTCAGAATTTTCTCCAGAGTTTTTGAATATTGGAACCACAGATGCCATTTTCCAAAAACAAGACTCAGTCAAACACTTGTTAAATAGTTTAGAGAGAATTGAAGAAAGTTCTGGAGAACAATTCTGCAAGACTGTGACAGGAATGTTGTCTGGACCACAAGCTGTAGACGAGTTTAATTGAGATATGACTTTAGCAACAGAAGCCGGAGTGATTTGAAAGTCTAACAATGGGTCAACCTGTTTGACTGGAATGGAAGGAAGAGAATGTCCATAAGATTCAAGAGTGGAATTAGAAGAAAAGTTCTTTGCAAATAGTTCTGCCTTATCCTTGGGAGAGGTAATAAGATCAGTCCCATGAATGAGAGATGGAATGTTAGATCTACCCTTGTTAACAATGCTGTTGAAGATTTTCCAAAAGTCTTTAGAGCCTAACTTTTGCGATAAGATGCGAGATTTAGTGAACTGAGAATAATGGAGTTTAGCATCAGAAAGCACCTTTTTACATCGATTACTTGCAATAATAAATAGCCGTTTGTTCTCAAGAGAGTTGTTCTTTTAAAAAAGATGAAAAAAATGATTACGATTGGATATAGCAGCCGCACAAGAAGGAGAAAACCATGGAGTAGAATGAGGCTTGACTTGAAACCGACGAGAAGGAATAAAAGCTTCTAGTAGGAGTTGCGATGATAAGGTGA